GTGCAGCTAAGGCTCTGCAACAATCCCTTGAAAACCCTTTTGGCGGGTGGAGGCCCGCTGGGCCCCCCATGCCACACAACTGCACCGATACCTACCCCCCCCCGTCATCCCTAAGCCTATTCATGCGTATGTATATATATACACATGTACATATATCGGAGGTGAGGGGGGTGAGATCGAAATGGAACGGAGAGCCCCCCTACCGGGAAATCGGTTTCGGTTTCGTGTTCGTGCGTGCCGTGCGTGCGGGCGAGGCGAAGCTGCGTGGGCGGGCGAGAAATAAATCTCCTGTAGCTGAGGCGCGGCCGGACCAAAGTCTCCCTTCCGGCAACCGGTGCCCCGCGGCGCCCCGCCGGTGTCCCGCTCGGGGGCCAGATGGGCGCGGTGTCCCGCCGGTGTCCCGCCAGTGTCCCGTCGGTGTCCTGATGATGGTGATGATGATGATGATGATGATGATGATGATGATGATGATGATGATGATCATGATGATGATGATGTTGATGATTTTGGCGATGATGATGATGATGATGGTGGTGATGATGATGGTGTCCCGATGATAATGATGATGATGATGATGATGGTGATGATGCTGATGATGCTGATGATGAAGATGATGGTGATGGCGGTGATGATGATGGTGCCCCCGATGATGATGATGATAATGATGATGATGATGAGGATGTTGCTGATCATGAGGATGTTGCTGATGATAATGATGATGGTGCCCCGATGATGATGATCATGTGGATGATCATGATGATGTTGATGATGATCAAATGATTTGATGATTATGGTGGTGACGATGATGGGGTCCCGATGATGATGATGCTGATGATGATGTTGATGATGATGCTGTTGATGATGATGGTGCCCCGATGATGAAGATGATAATGATGATGATGATGATGACGATGGTCTCCCGATGATGATGCTGATGATGATGATGTTGAAGATGAGGATGATGATGAGGTGATGATGACCATTTTGATGATGCTGGCCCAATGATGGTGATGATCATGCTGATGATGATGATGATGATGATGATGATGATGATGGTGCCCCGATGATGTTGATGATGATGATAGTGATGCTGATGATGGTGACGATGATGTTGGTGATCCGATGATGATGATGGCGACGATGATATTGCTAATGATGATGATGATGATGATGATGATGATGATGATGATAGTGATGATGATGATGATGATGATGATGATGATGATGATGATGGCGTCCCGATGATGGTGATGTTGATGATGATGATGATGATGATGATGATGATGGTAGTGTTCCGATGATAAGGGTGATGTTGGTGTCCCGATGATGGTGATGATGATGATGGTGACGATGATGGTGTCCCGATGATGGTGATGGTAATGATGATGGTGATGATGATGAGGATGATGATGGTGTCCCGATGATGTTGATGATGATGTTGATGACGTTGATGACGATGATGTTGATGTTGGTGTTGATGATGATGATGATGCCTTTGATGGTGATATCAATTGTAATATCAATAGTTAGGCCGAATGTGAGGTCGAATGTGATATCGATAGTGAGATCGATAGTGAGATCGATTGTGAGATCGATAGTCAGATCGATGGTGAGATCGATCGAATGAAATAGATCAAGTGAGATCGATTGTGAGATCGATCGAGTGCGATCGATCGAGCGAGACCGATAGTGAGATCGATAGTGAGATCGATAGTGAGACCAATCGAGTGAGACGTTGGTTTCTCCCCCCCCGAACCTCCTTATCACCCGAAGGGTGATCGTATAGGTATATTTAATGCGTGGCACCCCGCAGTCGCAGACAAGAACGAGGGGGCGGCGGGGCCGTCTGCAGACTGTGAGGGTCTGAAGAAGCGCGCCGCAAGCGCCGATATCTTGTTAAAGCAATGTGGGTGGGTGGCGTGGTGGGTCGCGGGTGGGTCGCGGGGCGGGTCGCGGTGTGGGTCGCGGGTGGGCTGCGGTTGGGTCAAGGGGCGGCTCGCGGGTGGGTCGCGGGCCGGGTCGCGGGTGGGTCGAGACTGGGTCGCGGGTGGGTCGCGACTGGGTCGCGGGTGGGTCGCAGGTGGGTCGCGACTGGATCGCGGGTGGGTCGCGACTGGATCGCGGGTGGGTCGCGACTGGGTCGCGAGGTGGGTCGCGGGTGGGTCGCGGGTGGGTCGCGGGCGGGTCACGGGGCGGGTCGCGGGTGGGTCGCGGGCTTGGTCGCGGGGGGGGCGACGCCAAACAGCAGCAACAGCAACAACAACAACAACACCAACAACAACACCAACAACAAAAACAACAACAGCAACAACAACAAACACAACGACAACAACACCGACAACAACACCAACACCAACACCAACAACAACGACCAACAACAACATCAACAAAAACACTAACACCAACACCAACACCAACAACACCACCACCAACATCACCAACACCAACACCAACACCAACAACAAGACTTCGCATCGTGGGAGTCCACTTCAACCCCGCACCCAGGATCCGAGAATGACCGTTCGGCCTCCTCACTCTGATAAGCATATACACAGATACATATACAGATACACCTATCTACATGTGCATTTGTTTGTATTTAGTGTATGTATACATAAATGCACACACTAGTGTGGGATTCGAAATTTGCCGAAGCGCGCCTTTGTCTCTGGCACGCAATTGCAAGCAAGCTGTGGTGCGCGATGGTCAACCAACGTGAAATCGATGATGTTCGCCTCTTAAGGCCCTTTTGGGGCCATCGTGTCTCCGGTGCCCTCTAAGAGTCCTCTGGTGCTGTTTCGGCACCTCGGGGGACGGGCGGCCCCCCAAAACCCGCAAAGGGTTAACGGATCTGTTTGAATGGATCTCTCTCTCTATCTATCTATCTATATATATATATGTTTACCTATAACTATATTGAAAACATGTTCTCGCCGTCGTCGCCCCGTCCCCGCCTCATCTCTGCCCGTCGCCTGGGTCTGCTCGCGTCGATAGCTATATGTTGTCGCAATCGACGCCCCGTCGCCGCCCGTCGTCTGGGCCTGCGCGTCGGTCTAGCGGCCATGTTCTCGCAGTCGCCGGCCGGTCGTCGCCTCGCATAGACTGCTTCGCACAGATTGCACCGCATAGATTGCACCGCATGGATCGCACAACGCAGACTTCATCACATAAATCGACCAAATAGATTGCACCACATAGATGGCTCCACATAGACTTCACAACATTTACGGCACCTAAAATATTGTAACACATCGATTGCACAACCTAGATCCCACAGTGTGTATATATAGATTGCGAAGGCGATACATGTATACATATATCGCAGGCTAAAGACAACACCACCCAGGCTACACAACAGAGATCGCACGACATATATTACACAACATACATCTATATAGATTGCCCAACGTAGATCAAACCGCCATGACTTTTGATTGCACGGCGTATGTTGGGCAAACCAGATCTCACCACAAACCACTTTGCTGCTATCATTGGGATTTGTCTCGCTCGCTGAACGCGCCAAGCATGGGGGGGGAAGGAAGGCCATGAGCAACAACTCTACGCAACAACTGCCTGGAACCCTGCTGAACGCGTGCAGAGCCGCGCGCCCGAGGCAAAGACTTCCCTCACATAAGCGGCCAACGTGGAATGACAAGAGGCAACAAGAAATACCACAAGCACGCGCTCTACGAAGATCGCGCCCCGGCAGGCACAAGGCAAAAGAGAGACACACAGACTTCGATCGTAAAAACAATCAAGTTGAAACGGAAGGAACGCCAGCGCGCAGCCACGCGCGCGATATAAGTAGCGCGAGGAAGGAAGATAAATAAACAAACTGCATCCTGCATACTCGCACTGCAGGAATCAGACATCGAAAAAAACAAAACTTTTTGCGGGCGGGTCGATCGATGATCGATGAACACATGACAGCAAACGAACGGGCAGACGCTCGCAAACCGTTCGGGCGGGCGATCCGTAATGGGCAGGGCGGGCGCGCGGACCCGGACGGGCGGGGTTGGGGTCGGGCGGGCGGAACACCGAATCGGGCAGGCGTGCTTTCAATCTTGTCAGCGGGCGACCTCTGCTCGCTGACCCTGTCCCCCCCCTTTTCCTGGCATTCTCCCCTATGGGACCAAGTGAGAGTGGCTCAGGACGCGTTCCAAGAATTCCAGAATATCTTGCGGCCCTCATTCCTGGAGCTCGTGAGGAAAAAGAGGATGCTGAAATCATCCAACTAAGAAATCCGGATCGCACCATCATCAAAACTTCCTGCTCTTCTGACCCTCGTCTACAAACTCCAAGACCCCTCACGCGAAACGCCAAGAAGAGCCCCCGGGATTCTATCCCTGCGGTAGGGCTGGGGAACGGGGAGGGCGGGCCTTAACGTCTTCAGTCTTCCCCCCTATCCTCCGAAGCGGTCACCACGAAACGCGGCCTCTCCATCACGATTTTCAGCATGGCCATCAACACCATCATCGTGACCCTCCCGATCATCGTCATCATAGCAGTCTTGTTTGTCGTCCTCATCACCCACGAACCGTATTCGTTGTCATCACCCCCAGAGTCCACGACTTCATCGTTGCCCATCGCCCCTCCCCTGCCCCTATCCAACGAAGCCGTCACCACGAAACGCGGTCTCTCCACCATCATCGCGAGTCTCCCGATCATCGTCATCATCGCCGTCTTCTTTGTCATCCCCATCACCCACGAGCCGTCTTCGTTGTCACAATCCCTATCTAGAGAACAAAAAGCCACCCCCATAATAACCATCCCGACAAGCGAAGCTTAAGTAAACGCACCCAAGGAAGGAATCGAACAGGGTAGGACTGTTTAGTAAACGCCCAGGGCCGTTCAGTGAACGCCATTCATCGGGTCTGGGTGGTTTTTCTTCCACTGACCAGCATCCACGACCTCATCGTTGAAAATCGCCACCCCCCTGTCCTGGCATGCCCCCCGCGGCGCGGGGAGCCCCCGAGGGAGGCGCTGGGCCCAGCCCGCGCCTGGAAGGCCGCCTCGAACTCAGCGATCTCGGCGTGCGTGAAGCCCTCCACCTTCGGCGCCACCGCCATCACTCGAAGAAGAGAAATACACATATGCAGAATAATCATCATATTTTTACGAATCAGAAGAAAAACTAAATCCACGGCACCCACACGGCCTTCTCCAGCCCTCGCCCTATAGCGAGGGACGGGCTCAAAGCCCCAGGGCCGCAAATCGCCGACCACCCCCCCCGCCCAACCCATCAACCAGCAACCAGCAACCGGCAACCAGAGATTCAGCTAAGCATAGGAATCAAAAGGGATCCGCAACAAATCATTAAGATTCCTTCGATATCCTTGAGGCAGCCCACGCATTCCCAAGAGCTCGAACCATGCGCGCGATAGCGCAACGACCTCGGAGCTGGATGTTCCTCTGTAGGGAAGCATATCGTTTCCTGCGGGATCCAAGGGGGTTCCCGTATGGGTAACACAGAGAACCAATGGGACCTGTGGGACGCAGGGCCTGATGGGATCACTATAGGGGTGGACTAAAGCCATATGGGATCGCTTTAAGACAACATGGAGCGCTCTAGGGTGGTGCAGAACCTGGTGGGATCGCGATACTGGGTTGGTATAGCGCCTGGCAAGATCGCTATAGAGGTGGTATGATTCCGAATGTTGCCGCTATAATCGTGGTATAAAGACTGATGGGATCGCTATGTAGTACAACATTGAATAGGACCGCTACTGGGGTGGTATACAGCGGGTATGCAAGCAAATAGGACTGCCCTAAAAAGGTGGCATAGAGCATAACATACGGCTAACAGGGCGGTATCAAGCCAAATCGGACCGCTATGAGGGGTGGTTGAAAGCCTGCTGGGGCCGCCACAAGGAAGTATCGAGCCGAATCGAACCGACATGTTGGTTTGTTGGTTTGTTAGAACCTGACAAGACCGCTTTGGGGTTGTGCAGAGCTTGATAGAATAACTACACTGGATGATACAACATCCAAAAATACCGCTCTAGCGGCAACACAAAAAACTGATCATACCGCTATTGGGGTGGAATAAAGCTCACTAGGGCCGTTAATGGGTGGTACGAACCCTAATGAAATCGCTGTAGGCCGACGACTACAACTGCTGACGACGACTACTACTGCTTGCTCAGGATTCCCTGGGGATCCCTTAGGAATGCGATGGACCCCCGACCAATTCCTACGGATCCCCTAGAGCATCCAATGGAATCCCTAAGGGGCCCCTGAGGACCCCATGGGAATTCAAAAAGAATCCCGGGGGATCCTGCGGATTCCCTAGAAGATTTCCGGAGGATTCCTGGAATACTCGTGAGGATTCACTGCTGTTAAGCCTTAGGCATCCCGAGGGGTTCCGAAGGACTCCCAGAAAGGATTCCCTGACGATTCCCGAAGATCCCCACAAGATTCTAAGAATCTGTTTCTTGCAGTTTTCCTGCAGATTCCACCGGATTCCCTCGGGGCCCCCAAGGATTTCCTAAGGATTCCTGAGGACCCCCTGGGGTTTCCAAAGGGTTGGCTCCCTGCGAGAATTCCTTCTGGGTTTCCTGGAGATTCTGTGCGGATTTGCGAGGATTCTAAACAGATCTCTAGGGATTCCTCAGGATTCCTTACGGAAGCCCGAAGATTCCCTCGGGATTCCGAACGATCCCCCCGGGATTCCAAAAGATCCCTGGTGGATCCCCGAGGCATTCCAACATAATCCAAAAAGCCCAGGGATCCCGATGGAACCCACACAAATTCCCCAATATTCCACAAAAATAATCCGGAGGCTTCCCACAGGATTCGGATTACGGGTTCCCCAAGGATTCCCCAAAAGGATTCCAGAGGAACCCCTTGGGATTCCTAAGGATTCCCCGGGGACTCCAGATAATCCCCGAAGCATTCATGAGGTTCCTTGAAGGACCCCAATGGGATCCCGAAGGGTTTCTTGGCAACGGCTACGCGGAGCCCCCCACGCAACTACCAACTCCTCAACCCACTCAAGGGGGTGGTCTTCGGCCCCCCGCGGGAGGGGCTGAGTTGCCGGTTGCTTTGGGGGGGGGGGGGGCGGCGGAGTTCCGCGCCCGTCCCTCACCAATCGTAACAACAACCACTGGCCATCAACAAACCACGAAAGATCAACAACCAAGAACCAACACCCAGCAACCAACATTCAATAAGCAACAATACACAACCAAAAAAAACAACATCAACCACATCCCAACACAACCAACAACAACAGCAACAGCAGCAACACCAACACCAACAACTATACCAACACTCAAATTGAGACCGTTCGCTTAATACGTGTTTGCGTGGCATCCAACACGTATACCCCAAAGCACTCGATGTCCGCCGTCTTCGTCTTCGATCATACGCCCTTGGGGGTATACCTTCTGCACCTGCCACGTGTAATTGGCGCAGCCACGGAAGGAAAGGACGGATGAAAGGAAGACGGACAATCATGGATCACGAGAGAGATTAGGAGGGCGGCTAGGAGCAGAAAGCACGTGGCAGAACCAGACGGGCTGATCGGGCGGATAGACCCTAGCGGGCGAGTCGGGAAGGCAGGCCCAGGCGGCCAGGTCAAGCAGGCAGGCTGCTGAAGCGTAAGTGTTGCATGAATTGCGAGAGAGTCTCGAACAATACGCAATGTCCAAGTGAATCGTCAGAAAAGCCAAACCGACAGCGCGATTCCTCAGCGTCGGGGGAGCGGCGTCTGGTAAATCCGCCGACCCCTAGAGGCGTGTGCGATATCCTTTGTGTAAGGCCTCGGAACCCCTCCCCCGAGGGAGCTCGCCCGAAACTTGCCCGATGGAGCTCGCCCGAAACTTGCCCGAAACCTACCAACACCCCCCCCACCGCGCCTCCATCACGCAGCGCCCCCCTCCCCGCTCTCCCAC